TTTGCTGCATGTTAGTCTGGAATGTACATGGAGGTTAAAGTCAAAGACATTTATTTGGAACTGGTCTCCAGTATTTAGTATCTATAAGACCCCGGGCAGACCACCTAAGTTATTAGAGCCTCACTTCCGTGAAAAAATGAGAATGATAATACAGACTTCATAAGACCATTGAGAGGATTAAGTGAGATAATGCATTAGAAATGCCATCCAGAAAGAAGGCTCCCAGTAGCCAAGAACCAAAATCAACAGCAGCAGTGGTAATACCAAAGAGTATGCCTTACAGGAGTCATGATCTTGTTTACGATTCTTGCTGTACCTAAAGTAGAAATAATCTTTTGTTAAAGAGATTTCAAATACTGCCCTGGTATTTTTTGTTTTGCAGGTGTCATACCACAGTTTTGTGATCTTGATTATGCTGTTCCTGTGACAAAATTGTTTTAAGTAGAATGGTGACAACATGGCTTAACAAAAGGACTATGGATTTGGGGATCAATTATACATGTATGTGCACACATGTGTGTGTATGTTGGAGGGAGGGAAGGAAGGAAGGAAGGAAAGGAGGAAGAAAGGAAGGAAGGGATGAAGGGAGGGAGGAAGAAAAGGGAGGGAAGGGTGTGCTGCAAAGGACAAGGATTCCAGCTCCCATAGAGACCTCCTCTAGAATTTGTGAATGTGGTGGGGGTAGGTGGGAAGTACTAAAATAATGGGTGAAGGGGCCAATGCAATCTCAACTCAGTGTAATTGGGGGAACAAGGACAAAAGTTCTGCCATGAATCAGAAGCAATCAGAGGTGGCCTCTAAGACTTTTGCTGACAGTGCTCAGCTAGACTGTGGGGATCGGGGCTATACAAGACAAGTCTTCTGTCCTCGGAGAGCTAGTAGCTATTTCTAGCTCATCAGGCATAAGGAGTGACCTAAACTGTCTATGGACTTAGCAAATTACAGATACCTGGTTTAGCCTGATTTAAATAAACTGACATTAGCCTTTGGATTTGAAGTAGGAAGAGGAAGAGTGAGCAATCCTTTGCTTCAATGTTCCGGTGACTTCCCTGCGCACTCAGGATAAAACCCGTAGCCCCAGACCTGTCATGATCTGGTTTCTGGATACCCCAGCCTCATTCTCCTATCACCCCATTCCTTCTTCTCTCTCCACTAGCCTCACTGGCCCTCTTGCTGTTCCTCTGCCTGGAATCTTCTGTCCCAGATATCACATGGCCCACACCTTCTCTTTACCCAAGATTCTGATGGTGTGCCCCTCCTAGTCCAGGGAGCTTTCCTACCCTGTTATGAAACAGAATTCCCCAGGCTTGGTCACTCTCAGGATCCTTGTGCTTCTCAACTTTTCTCCTTCATGCTGTTCATGAACTGAGCATGTGTGGGGGTGGGGGTGGGGGTGGGAGTGTTCGTGTGTGTTTGGTCTGTCTCTCTCATAACTTGCTACAATCATGGGGGCAGGAACTCTGTTTTTTCAGTGTTTCATTCCCACCAGACAGAAAAGTATGTGATACCAAATGGAGAGAACCAACAAGTGCTTCTTGTTTGAAAGAAAATATAATCATCTGTTAATATTTGTACCATGTTTGGTACAAATACTGGGGACAAAGAGTTTTAGGTTTAGTTAACTCCAGAGTACCCTGAAAAGCTACCTGTTTCTTTTTTTTTTTTTTTCAACGTTTATTTATTTTTGGGACAGAGAGAGACAGAGCATGAACGGGGGAGGGGCAGAGAGAGAGGGAGACACAGAATCGGAAACAGGCTCCAGGCTCTGAGCCATCAGCCCAGAGCCCGACGCGGGGCTCGAACTCACGGACCGCGAGATCGTGACCTGGCTGAAGTCGGACGCTTAACCGACTGCGCCACCCAGGCGCCCCAAAAAGCTACCTGTTTCTATCCATGATTTGACTTTTCTCTATCACAATTCCTTAACTAGATTTATAAGTCTGATCATTTGTTTTGTACACATCTGAAACCAAATATTACAAATGCACAAGAGGGTTTGTACACACAAGTGCATTTGTAGATATATTTGGACATACACAAAGCATATAATATGTATGTATACAATTACATAATATACATTATATAGCATATACGTTATAGTGTGTGGTATGTATATATGATATATTCATACATGCTACACTATATATTTATATATAATCTAAACTATATATCAACATTATATATATATGTATATATATATATATATATATATATATACCCTTGTATATATGTATACATATATATAGCCAGTTAGCTGCATACTCACTAAAATATCATTAATTAAGGGAAAAGAACAAAATTGAAAGTTTTGGAAGAGTTTAAAAGAAATAGGATTTAATCACTTTCAAATCCATTGGGACATAGCTGGGTAAAGCAATCGACCCCAAGTGGAAACCACTCATGTGCCTGCCTGAATGGATGGATGGATGGATGGATGGATGGATGGATGGATGGACAGGAATGATGTTAGCCCATTACAGGTAGGGAAATGGGGACTCTGAAGCACTCTAGGGGACTAAGTAACTAGTTCTACTGAGGAACTTAATCCTCATGGCAAACTTGTTTGCTTGGCTGATTTGCTTGGTAAATGCTTTCTTTCCAGAACCAAAGTAAACTCCAGCTCAATACATCCTATGGCTATTAATTTCAATGTAATGGAGTCTCAATTTTCCTATGTATTTTCAAACTATTTCAGTGTTCGTATGTTTCAATTATGACTTTTTACCTCTGCCTTAGAGAGCTCACAGTTTTATTGGGGAGAATATTCCCAAACAGAGTTTCACTCCACAGAGGGGTTAAGTATAAAAAGATGCAAACGCCAGATAAACTCCAATGAGAGAATCTAATGAGGAAAGTCATGGTGCCATGGAGACTATGGAAGAGATTTTTGGGGATAGACAGGGCTTTCGGTCCTCATCCCCACCAGCGACCTGGGCACTGGGTTCCCCCAGGTGATCACCTTCCTCTGCCCCTTTCAATCTTGTCTTCCTTATGGGTTATAGAGCTAACTGGCCAAGTATTAAAGCATCCTCCAGATCGTGGACTCAATATTTCTTTTTTTTTTTTTTTTTTTAATTTTTTTTTCAACGTTTATTTATTTTTGGGACAGAGAGAGACAGAGCATGAACGGGGGAGGGGCAGAGAGAGAGGGAGACACAGAATCGGAAACAGGCTCCAGGCTCTGAGCCATCAGCCCAGAGCCTGACGCGGGGCTCGAACTCACAGACCGCGAGATCGTGACCTGGCTGAAGTCGGACGCTTAACCGACTGCGCCACCCAGGCGCCCCGTGGACTCAATATTTCTTTCTGTGTCTTCTGTGTGTTTCCTAAGCTGGGTTCTATTTTATTTCATATGTACATCACATGTTGCCCTCAGGACCCCAGCCTTGGGCAAAATTCCCAGGAAGATGCTGGCAGTGAGAAAGGCCTGGGCTCAACCAGGGTAGCCCTTGTTCCTGGGGACAATGTTCCTGGCCACCTCCTATCCTGGTGACAAGGTGCCCTGAGCACTGTCAGGCTGCTGATTCCGGTCCCGGAAACTACTCTGTAGCACAGGACCGCAGGCCCTGCATGAAGTCCAGGGTAGTAAGTGGAAGCCCAGGGAAAATGACTACACAGATGCGTGGGAAGAGCAAAGACACCTTTCCCATGGGCCTCTGAGGCTTGGAATTCTGGCCCTTGAGAGTTTGTAGCGGAAGTCTTCAGGTAAAGAGACAAATGACACATTCCATTGGCCGGCGCTTATCAGCAACCCTGCGGAAGGATATCAGAGGAAACTGCCAGAAAATGACAGTGTCATGGTTCAGTCACTGACTGAATGAATGAAAAATACACAGAGGTGAACCAAGCCTGAACTTCTCCTGCCTGTCTTCCTTTTCCTTCTCCCCCTGCTGCTCCTAGACACCTGGAGCCAAATCCAGAGCTGAGAGCAGACAGAAAGAGGCTCCGGGAATGCCCTTGTGGGGGTCCTCGGGGCCACCCTGGGAAGGTATGCATGAGCCCTGGATGCAGCTGAACCTCAGGAAGAATGCTGCACCCCCTTTGAAGATACCCAGGGATCCGCCCTAATTCAAGCCACCCTGATGATCACAGGGCCGCAGACTACTTGACTTACTTCTAACTTGACTTACTAACTACTTGACTTACTTGACTTTCCCAGACTACTTGACTTGCTTCTAACTTCTGGATCTGTGAGGTCTGCACAGTGTATCAGAAATGGCATCCCTGGTTTGACCACAGGTGAAGCCGGGTCCCAGAACCTGATCTCCCTCCCTCCCTCCCTCTCTCTCTCCCTCTCTCTCTCTCTCTCTCTTTTCTTTTCTTTCTTTTTTTTTTTTTTATAAGACAGCCAATCTGCGGTATTTTATTATAACAGCCTAACAAAAGCAGTCCACTAGGCCCTGGCTGGGGATTCATTCATGTTCCCACAATGGTACATGGTTGTCTGCCCGTTTCTGGGAGGTAAGCACCACTGAGTCAGGATACATCCCTGCACTGAAGGCTGTGAGGTTGGGGCCACATCTCTAAGGGGCTCTCTGTCTGCAGTCCTCACCCACAAGCAGTGCCTGGTTTATACAAGCCGGCTCGCCAGAAAAAAAAAGCAGACACTGGGTGCACATGTCCATTGTCCTTGTTCATGTACCTCATTTGATTCATAACCCATGGGGCAAAAGAGGATTCATGAGCATTCTCAACCCCAAGACACAGATAGTATCTTCTCACTGTGTTTCTGTGAACACACATGTGGGAAAATGTCCGGAAGAATGCATACCTAAGTGCAACATTGGTCTCTCTGGGTGGTGAGATTATCTGCATGCTTGAGTTATAATTATTATAATTCTTCAATTTATACCACTGAAGTAGAAATAAAATCATCCTTTGAACCTATTTCTCATGGCAATGCAAATCTGGACCTTCTCCGCTGGGACTGAAGCTGTGAGCAAGGAAAGAAATACGACACCCGCATTTGTTGAACACCTGATAAGTACCAGGCACAGTACCAGGACGAAATCCCTCAGGTGCTGAAATTGCTAGTGGAAAGGTAGCAACGTGCACAAGTTTCTCGAAGTAGTAAGAGGCAGAGTCCCTCTCAATATGTACCCCCAAATCCATGCCCTTGCACTTGAATATACTCAGGGATCTGATGACAGTTGACTTAGGGGGAAAAAAAAAAAGCACATACAAAGGCAATGGTGTCACCAAATTGATATCACACAATACATACACTAAAGGGAATCCGTGGTCAGAATGAACATTACCCCATTTTTCTGAAAATTCCACCAAACACAATCCTCAGAAAACTAGAAACCACTCAAGGAAAAGAGGGTAGGTTGGTTTTCCAGACACAGGTACTCTGAATAGTGCCGAGAGTGACAGGTGCAGGCTTGGCAGCCAGAATAGAGAGACATGGGAACACGTATCAACACGGAGCCTCTCAAGCAGCACATCTGAGGACACCGGGGAGGGCCAGCACCCGGTGCCTCAGATCCAATCGGCCCTGTGAGCATGGCTGAAGCCAAGGAGAGTGCGGTAATTGATTTTCACAATGATGATCTCTAGTCATCAAGAAAAGGTTACATTTTATGTTCAGAACCCTCTGTTTAAGAAAGCAGGGAAGCATGTAATCCATTTGAGAAAGATTTTCATTTCAAATAGTTAAAAATTCTTTGAAAAGATTTTTGGTGCTTAAAGGGATAAGTGACACTTATCTGGAAAATTCACTTATGTGGAACAACGTCTTTCCTAAAGATTCTAGATCAGTGAGGCGGCATGTTATATTTAGTTAGGCTTCTATCACTTCTCCTTTGTTGACATTCCCACTGTCTAATCTTCTTCGGCCTTTCAAACTTCCTAACTTCTAAGCATAATGGGGTTGTAAGTTTCTTGAGATGACAGATTGTGACACCCATTTTTGTGTATTCTATGTCCCTGTGGTTCTTGGCTTTTTTCTTTTTCTTTTTCTTTTCTTTATTTCTTTTTTTTAAACTTTTTTTTAACATTTATTTATTTTTGAGACAGAGAGAGACAGAGCATGAACGGGGGAGGGTCAGAGAGAGAGGGAGACAAAGAATCTGAAACAGGCTCCAGGCTCTGAGCAGTCAGCACGGAGCCCGACGTGGGGCTCAAACTCACATACCGCGAAATCGTGACCTGAGCCGAAGTCGGACGCTTAACCGACTGAGCCACCCAGGCGCCCCTCTTTTTTTTTTTTTTTTTTTTTTTAAGACCATGGAATAGATGATAAACTGATAGTCACAGAAAATGATGGACTCCCAGAGTACCCATGAACTTTGACAAAGCCCTCCTGACATTTTGCAAAAAAACCCTTTTGGGTTCTGGTAAGAGTCCTAGAAGTCTGTTTGCTTGTTGTTGTTGTTGTTGTTTTTCTAACAGCAACCTTATTTTTAAAAAGAGTCATTTCCATGGAGGCCTGTACTTTCCAGGTAACACTAGAGCTGGGAACACACAGGACCATCCCTGCCTATCCTGCTGGCCTCCTTGCCCAACACCACGTCCCTCTGCATATCTTGCCCTGGAAAGAACTCATTGCTTTTTGGTGAATGTGCTGAGATCCTTCGTGCTTTCTCACATGCTATTCCCTTTCCCAGAGAAATCTCTTCCCAAGTCCACACCTTCTATGTCTAGTTTAAATGCTCTCTTTGAGTACTGCTGCTCTCAAGAACCTTCTCATTCTCTCAGCTGTTGGAGGACGGGTGTGGTCTTCTTTGTCTTTTTGCATATCAGTATGGAACTGTGAGAGGCTGCAAAGCTCACTCTGGGCCACACCTGGGAGTCAGAGCCAGGATGAGAAATCCATCCCTGGTCCTCTCCCGACCTTGTTTCTTTCCGCGGCAGGGTGAACAACCATCACTGCAGCCCCCTCGTGGGCAGACACCCCTGTCCTCGACATTCTGTGTTTGGGAAGCCTATCTGTTGTCAGCCCTTGTGGCCCACGCAGAGGAGCAGGGACTAGCCTTACCTGGCGTGTTGAGCAGGCGGGACCTTCTGCAGTGGTAGGCTACCTCCTGCTCACAATGCTCCGAGCCATCAATCATGGCTTCCAGCTGTTCCATGCTGCCGCCATAATCCAAGGCCATGGTGTAGGGCTTCTCTGGGTCGGCGCCCCGCACCCGGGTCAGCTCTGTGTTGTTGTGCTGCACTGATGTCCAAATCTTGTCCTCTGTCCAGAAAACACAACCCAAGGAAGGAGACATCAGAAGGAAGGTCAAAAGGGGATCATACCTCAATAAAGCCAGAGGTGTGGGGAGGAGGTGGGGAAGAGATCACTCAAGCAATGTGATACTTGGCTCCACGTGGGGCAATCAATCACCACTACAGTGCTCTACCTGTGCAAAAAACAAACAAAAAAATGACCAGAGGATTTCTGTTTCTCATAAAGCTCTGCCTTAATTTAATATGGGGGTTAATAGTGGCTCAGTCAGTTAAGCATCTGACTTTAGCTCAGGTCATAATCTCGAGGTTTGTGAGTTCGAGCCCCGCATCGGGTTCTGTGCTGACAGCTCAGAGCCTGGCACCTGCTTCGGATTCTGTGTCTCCCTCTCTCTCTTCCCCTCTCCTGCTTGTACTGTGTGTGTGTGTGTCTCTCTCTCTCTCTCTCTCAAAAATAAACATTTTAAAAATATGCGGGTTAATAATCATGGGAGCTAAACTTGTGGAACCCCTTATGCTAAGCACTTAATGCCCGTTATCTCATTTTAAAGTGACATTACCTAAATCAGAAGGAAGTTAGAAATGCCATGTTAGAAATGAAGGAAAAGTGAGAAGAATTGAACAGCTTACCCTCAAGCAAATGACCAAGCAAGAATAGGAACATAAGGTGTCTGACCGCACAAAAAAAAGCCCAGTAGCTTCCAGGTACTGACACACACTTCCCCACAAGACACACACTAGCATAGATAATTGTCTCACAGAAACACAAGTATCCCACTGAATGTTTGCTGCACATAGAAAGACCTACGTACAGAAGGTATCTGTAAAATACACCTGATTAACAAGTGTGAGGTTATGTGATCCATGCTGTTCATACAAGGTACTTAGATGAAGTTCCTTTTTGCTTTAATTCTCTATGCTACCTCTAGTTACCAAAAAAATATTTTAAGAGGTTTGCATAAAAATTCACATGCAGAGATGAGGACCTTTACAGCAGGTTTGGAGAATGTGTGTTACCTCCTATAGGTAAAAATGGATGGTGAGGAGAGAGCAGAGACATTTGAGTTTTAGAGCTTGAGAGATATGTACCCCCACCAATGACAGGCTTGGACAAGTCACTTCACTTTTCTAGGGCTCAGTTTTATTATCAGTAGAAGAAAGAAAGAAAGAAAGAAAGAAAGAAAGAAAGAAAGAAAGAAAGAAAGAAAGAAAGA